AACTGATCTTGCTCTCGCATACGTCGGTCTTGGCTTTGCTTATGTAAAGGCAAAACGAAAGTCTAATGCTATTCTAGCTGTCTTTCAATTAGCGGAGACAATAGGCGACTATCTCGCCGAACAAGATGCGAGTCATCCTCAAGTGAGCAAGATTTTCACTAGTCTGGGTGCTGCATTTGCTTCAATCGATGACCTTAGCAAAGCACTTGAATGTACTCACAGGGCACTAGAGATTGATCTTCAAACCTACCATCCACTTCACCCAGAAACTGGTTTGAATTACAGACAGATAGCCTGCATATACAAAGACTCTAAAATGTATGAACGTGCACTTGAATTCTATGAGAAAGCTGCTAATGTGTTTCGACAAGACAAGAGCAAAAATCGATTGTTGCTTGCGAAAATCTATGACAATATGGGGTCGGTTTATTATGATTTAAATGAATTTGATAAGGAACTTGAATACAGTATGATGGACCCAGAGCTTCGATTGGAGTGCTCAGAACTAAACGATCCAGATTTGGATGAATGCTACGAAAATATTGGTCTAACCTACGAAGTACGAGACGACTTCGCTACTGCACTTACTTATTTCGTTCCTATGCTGCAAATTCAACTGAAAAACCTGTCACCTTTTGATCCAAAACTCGCTGAGGGATGCAAACTGATCGGTAGAAATTATTCTTCCACCAAACAGCATAATTTAGCTGTCAAATATCTTTGTAAAGCTCTAGAGATTCAACGTAGACGGAAGTTGCCTTTGGCCTCGACTTACCAAGAATTGGCCGACGAATACAAGGCACAAAAAAAGCCGTATAAAGCTCTGAAATATTACCAACTGGCAATTAAACATCTCACAAAAGAAAACAAAAAGTCAAAGTCGGAAGATTATTATGAGGAATTGACTGGTCTATACCACGACATTGCTCACATTCAATGGCATCTTAAGCTGTTGAAAAAAGCAATCTATAACCTGAAACTGTCACAAAACACACAAAAAAACTTTCTCGGCAAAGAGGAATATGAATACCTTAGTGACAAAATCAACAAACTTTGGAACACAATCAAGAAGAGTATAAAAAAAACCAAATCAAAAACTAATAAAAAGAAGCGGACAACACCAGACTGTATCATCAAGAAAATAACAAATGCATGATATAATCTTCTATTCACAGCTATAGTGTTAACTTTCTTCAATTATAAATATCAAAAAACTAAGTTTTTGTTATAAAACATCTGGTTATGATAACAATTTTTCATTTGATTTTGTATTAGAATGCTTGTAGACGCAAATAAACGCTTGATCTTAACAAACAGTATTACACAACCTTTATTTATCACGGGTGTGGGTGTGGGGGTGTGGGTGTGGGTGTGGTGTGGGTGTGTGGGCGTGAGTGTCAAAGAAAAGAACACCCACACCCACACACCCACCCATCCACACCCCACACCCACACCCTATTATTTACCAATCATAACCAGATTTCGGATATAGGTGCTAGTTGTATAGCTCAAGCACTTTATACGAATAGAACATTGACTGAGCTCAATATACGCAGAAATCAAATTACTGATGAAGAAGCACTTTCTTTTGCTCAGGCCTAGTGTGAGTGTGGCGTGTGGAAGGAGGTGTTGGTGTGGGTGCGGAGTGTGGGTGTGAGACTTCCTTTAGCCCATACCCACACCCTCCTTCTCTTCTATCTTGAACTATGCATAAAAACGTTGTCACTTTCTATCGCAATGATCTCAAGAAGCGGAAGTTACAAAATGATTGTTTGAATGTGAGAATGAAATCCTATGATCAAATCAATAACATTCTTTTTTTCATCTTTGATATGGCGTTCTATTTCCGTAGAGAAAGTCACCCAAAAAGACAAGTTTTTGTGGACTTTGTGTTTTTTTTTTAAGTTTCGAAATTAATATAAAACGATCAATTGAAAATATTATTTAAGATTCTGCTTATATCTTGTTGTTAGAACTCTCTTAAGTAATGTATGTCGCAATAGCCAATTCACAGTTTCTTTCTGAGTTCGATCATCTGATTGATAGAGACGTCATTTTTCCATTTTCTCGGCAAAAAAAGAACTGATTCCAATAGAGCGTAGTTATCTTTTGCAGAAAATTATTTCATATTCGATCGTCTAATCGATTATTCATTTTCCAAATTATATCGATTGAACCGTTAATCGAAATGTTGAAGACTTCGATTTTCTTCAAATTTCAAGATAAAGAAACTAGATGGCACCGGAGCTGAGCTTAGAGTGTGACAAAGATGTCAAGCACGAATCTCGAGTTTCGAAAAAAAAACGATCTATAATAAAAAAGAAATAATTGTTTTTAATACCTATCTTAAGTCGCTGTCTCATGCATATGTATAAGTTTTACTGAAATCAGATAGTTTTTGTCGCTGTGGATCAAAAAAATGATGCTAGTATCAATCAGTTGATTTATGCCAAGATCAACATATATCCACAGGTTTCTAAACACCGGTATTGTTTGACCGATAGCTATTTACATGATTCGTTATCTATAATCAGCTGTTTGATGCACGTACAAAAAGATCGCTTATAGTCAGGGAATGGAACGTCATGAGAAAGATTGGAAAAAATCCTATCAGTTCGATCTCGATATCTTGACTTTGCGTTTGAACAAGTACTTTTTGAGTCACTGCTCTTCAAGTCATCGCTAAGAAGATGACAACTTTTGATGCATACGTCAAGAAATTAAAAAAATCATAAAAAAAAAGAGAAAACTCTTGAACGAGTTCATAAATGCCATGCTTCGCACCGCATTAAAGAAAATCTCGAACGATCGCTATAGAGTGCTGCACACCGTAACAACTTCATAACGACCATGACTGACAAGTTGTAGACCTAGATTTTGCATTTTCATCTTTTTTTCTCTAACAAATCGAACAACTCCTACTTTCGCTAATTGAAGATCACGTTTAGTTAACGATTCAATTTGTAAATAAAGTTTTTATCACTCGCTACAACTTTTTTATTATTTGGGCAATATTAACCATGTATAGATATATCACCATCAGCATGATAACATATATGTGCTAATGTTTCTTTGCTTGTAAGTTTCGATCGAGCATTTTGCGAAGGATGTGGGTATGTGTGAATGTGGGTGTTTGAGAAGATCCTTTCCTCACACACTCACATCCACACCAACATAGTTTAAAGCATTTTTCATATTAAATTGATTTTGATCCGTATTTTCAAAAGAGTAATTTCTCCGAATTTTTATGAGGCATCGTTTACACATAAATAACGTATATCAATCGTTTAATGCAAAAACGAAATAATATGTTGAGGAGTTTCAAATCTTTCAATTCCACCTTTTTTTTTATAAGCATCTTCAATTTCTCAAAGAACTTTTTCATTGAATTCTTCTTCATCAACTAATTTTTTCCATTGTTTTTCATCATAGATGTCTTTCCGTACAGTTCTACAATAAAAAAAAAGACAATTATTTACACATTTTATCAATTTAATAAGAATCATCAATTCAGATAAAAGAGAATTCTTTAGAAAAATATATTGAAAGATGTGACAATTTAATATAAAATGATTTCGAATGACCTTCTATATCGATTGAAAATGATTTGGAAAGAACGAATTAACTGGGTCTTCGCAGAAGAACTGTAGTTATTTATTCGCTTTTTATGATCATTCTTCTAAGTGATCGTCTTAAGTTATCGAAATTATCTTTCAATCACTTTTGCCGATTTTATGATCCTTGAATTTCTAAAGTCTTAGAATTTTTTTCCGATCTAATAAAATTCTTTGTTATTAGTAACGAAATCGTTGATTGCTAATCTTTACTGAAATTCTTCTATTTTCGACTTGTTTTTTTATATTTTTTTTTGTTACATTTAGATCAGCAACGATTTTTCATTGTGCACGTTTTCATGCTAGTGATTCCCATCGGGCAATTGTTTGGTGGTTCGAATAAGAGCGCATCTCAAAAATCATAATGTCTCGTATTTTTTCTTGATTGAGACTGAAAATAAGATTCAAATAAATGGAAGAAAAAAACCCATTTCCTTTCTCACAAGTTTCATTTAGATTAGGTATGATCGATTTCGATTGTTAATGTCAAGTAACCCATTCACAACTGAGATTCTTATATCGATTATCAAAAATAAACTCTTCTTATCACAATCTTAAAATAATCAAAAGAAATTTTTTTAATGAAAATGGAAAGATTTAGTCAATAGGTTCATTTTATGAGGAAATGAGGAGAGGTCAAAGACAGTGAACAGAAAGAGAATAGACTGAATGATAGTATTATCATCGGAAAATAATATATAATCGTTGATCTATTTGTTTTTCGCAGTAATTTAAGTAAATCTATAGATATTTGTTTTCGATTGGGACAAACAAGTATAACAGTATATTCGGATGAAGATTAGGCACATAAACAACAATTTTCAAAAATCCCTACTTTACTAATTTCCATTTCAACTTTGATTAATCAAACATATTCTCCACAACATTATTTAATCAAATCTTGTTTGCCATCTATAGTTTTTTTCCAAATATTTTATTGAAAACAGAAAACAAAGAAAAACTGAGAGTGTGGAGTGTGGGTGTTGGTGATGAAGCGATGACCCACAACCACAGTATAATAATGGTGGAAAAATACATGAGTTATTGCATGAAAAGAAGAAAGAAAGACACTATAAGAAGAAATCATGAGAAAACAACAGGGAAAATATCTTAGAGAAAGAAATGACTATAAGTGACAAGACAGACATACATGTAAACAACGAAAGAAAACCAACACATACGAATAATATATTGAATATATTACTTCTTATGGCATGTCTTACGTATATGCCATAATACACACATCAGTGAAAGACTATCACAGACACAATTGTATTTTCTTATTTACAATGTGAGCAAATAGTTCGATTGTGTTTCACATTTTAATCCTACAGAGATTATCCTAACAGTTTTTTTTTTATTGAAATAATTAATATAGAAATGAGTTTACAATGAAGAAAAATATCGATAATAGTCTTTTGAAAAAACTTTTGACTCTTTGAGTATTAATCGTTTTACTTTAGAACAATTATGTCGTGTTTCATCTCGTGTAAAATTCATTGTTACAGTTGCTAATTGATTATAATTGACTTTTAATTCAGTTAGACAAGGTAAATGTGTCTTTGTTTGTAGTAGAAATTGTTCAACATAATCAGTATTTACATTCATAATATCAAGTGATATTAGATGAGAATATTCAATAATTGGATAAGAGTTCCATTGATCACAATTCCGTGTCTGACTGTTATCATTTTCCATAGAAAAACATTTAAGTTTTGGAAAATTTCGACTAATTTGCATGAAGAATTCATGTTCCATTGGAATTGTATCATAAGCATACAAATGAGTTACAGTGTCAAATATCATATTTGGAAATCGATTCGAGATGTTTCCTAGATGAGTAAATATGAATGGAAGCGAATAAACATGACACACGGACCTATTCTTAGTGAAACGATCTACAAAACAAGCTGTTGATCTATAGTTCATGTTATTAAATGTTTGTTGAATATCTTCATTAGAGATATCGTGTGTAAAATGGTAAAAGCCAGGTTTTGTACTTATATAAAAGATAAAACAACGAAGTTGAGCCATATGAACAAGAATATCATTATGAAGATCTGTGCCATCGACGAATAAAGTTCGTCCATGAAAACGAAGATACAAAGTTAACTTTTCCAAATGTGTCATACGAGATAGAAGTGGCACAATCCTTCTATCATATTGATAGTTAGAATCATAGCATGTTAATGAGAAATGCTTCAAATGACATAATTCATCCTATAATATACAAAAATATATTTCAAATACATATTTATTAGTTGAATTAATATAAAGAGTTTAATAGAATAAAGTCATCTTACAAGTTCTACCCATTTTCAATTATTTCTTCTATTTGATAAGATTTAGTACTTATGCAATAATCATGTCAAAAATAGATACTTCATATTTCTAACTATTGGAAAACAATGAAAATGAATAAATGTTTAGAAGCTAATTGAAATCCTAAACTTGATTGTATGAAATATGCTTAATATTGTTCAAGAAAATAGTTTTCATTTTTAAATTGCAAATGTCATTATTACAAACAATCAGTTTGACTAAAAATATCTTTGCAAAAATATTTTTCATCAATATGACCTAAAGCAATGTCATTTATTTAAATCATATCATCACTTAGCGCTTAGTAGAATTTGGAGATATTTTTCTTAGGAATATTTTTTGTTTTTTTTTTCAATTAATCATCATACCAGACTTGTTCTGCGTAGATGAAAAATAGACAATGCTACAATTCATGTTCTATTTTGCTGTCCGCTAGAACGAAGCAAGACAATGAGAGAGAACAGAACAAAATAGAAAAATTTATTATATGCTCATCTCTGCTGTGTTCTATAAGCAAAAAGCATTTTCTTAGTCAGTATAGTTGTCAGAACAAAACTCAATCATGGAATTACTTCATTTAATGTTTGAATAAATTGAAAAAGTTAATTATTTTGAAAATATGAAAGAATCCTTTTTATTGTTTATTGCATAGATTAAGATACTCATCTTCCAATTATTTGATTAACTTGATCTAATCAGTAATCATCAGATATATTCGATGTACACACAAACAAGAACATCTGTCGATTTATGATTATTTCACCATATTCTGATCATTATTATAATAATCATTCGATATATTAACATAAATTTATCGTTGATATTATTCCTTATTTCAACTAACAATAAAACAATCTAAACTCACCATACTACTAGACCATACCGGCCAGTCAATATACATGATTTCAACGATGAATGTGGTTAATTGTTTGAGATGAGCATTAAGTAAAGAGAGACAATCGGCAAAGAAACACACATTAATACGTAATACAGCTAAAGTTGAAGAGAAACAATTAGCTAGGTCTCGATTATCATACATTGAGAAAGGTGGATAATTGTACACAGATGATGGAACAATTGTTAAGTATTTGAGATTTTCGAAGAGAACTATTATAGATTCATACACATTTGTTATATAAGTAGACCATGGTTTCTTATTAGTATCTTCATCATTATTGTGAAGAATAAGTTCCGTTATCTGATGTTTAAAAATATGTCGAAAGGACGAGTCATCTAAGTAAAAACAAATAAAGTTATTTATTTGCTTTGCAATCTGATCTTTTGGTAAGTAAGAACATATTAAATATCTACCTGTAAAATAACGAAAAACTATTTCTTCTTCAAAACCAAACAGTTCCAAAGAAGTCAAATTTGGATAATCACCAGCAAGAAGAATACGTTCCATTGATGTTGTTTCAAGAATGAGTTTTTTTATACAATGATGTTTTTGAGGTAATATTGAAGTACAAAATCGATCAAGCATTTTGTCTGTAATTAATACATTTACAAAATTAAGAGTATTATTAAACACATCATCTTGTATTAAAGTATTAAGTCGTTTATTATGAATTCCAAATAGCGAATAAAGAACATCAATGTTGTTGAGTTTCTTTAAGATGATAAACAATATTTCATTGGGTAAATCATCAAGAAAAAGGTCAAACCGATTCATGTTTGATTATGACTGTCACCTCCTCAGTACATACACACATATATATATATTTTCTGATATCCGTTTCCATTGGTGACGAATAGTATAGTGACTGCGATGCACAATGGAATATGCTATCGATAAATCGTCCAATGCGATGATCAACAGATGTTGTTCTTTGTTCAATATTTGTTTATTTTCTTGCAGTCACTCTACCATATTCATTCTTTTGAATATCAAAGAAATGATATTAATCGAAGAAAATATGTCTATTACACGAAAAGTTAACTGAATTATTATAATATAATACTTTATAAAGAAAATACATATATATGGATGATTTCATCACATATATGAGACATTTACATCGACCTTCTTCCAATCGATTTTAACCTTTATAATTTTGTAGAGTATAGTTGATTTCCTTTACAGAATGAGAAAAGATCCGTGATAAATTCTAATAATGAAAAGATGGAAGATTGGCAAAACATAGCTTAAAATACAGAAACATCATAAAATAAGACTAAAAAAATATGTGAAATATTCATCATCATATATTTCTAACACAGAATTTAGGCACATAGTGGTATAGCAAGTTTTGTAGAGCAAAGTTTGCTCTAAAGATCTACATCAAAAACTTTTTACGGGTGTGGGTGTGGGTGTGAGTGTGGGTGGGTGTAGGTATGGATATCATTGCAGATGTGCCACTCGCACCCACACACACAACCACTTCCCACACCATCCACACACACAGTCTCGTATCTTCAATCAAACAATACTTATAAATAGTTTTTCATCGATAACTGTGAATTTGCCTGCCAGAATGTAATGTCAAACAAAGCAAAAAATACTGGGATACCTGACATAGTCACGTATGATCTTAAAGCAACTCTTTACGAATATCATGTCAAACAATAAATCGTATATTATATATACTAAAGTATTCATTCACATTAAGGTTTTTTTGTGACATATTGGCCTTCTAAAGAAACATATTGTATTGTAAGGCAAGATACGTGTGAGTGGTGCTTTTCTACTCGCATTCACGTTTTCATTTCATACTACCACACATTCTCTTTAAAGAGAAATGGGAAAAATCAAATATGTTTCTAGAAAAGATAAAAAAGAGTACAGTTAAAATTTAGGCAAGATATGAGCGTCTTCTTGAAACACTGCTATTCCCATTGATTGTTGTTCCAGGTTTACTATGAATCAAATGGTAGATCATTAATAACAAAATGCATACAAAAAGAACACATTCTATGACGTCGAATACAATTTTCGTCTTGTGTAACTGAAACGGGATAATATTGACCACCAAAAATGCTGTTGTCAGAGCCAGATAGAGAAGGAGAAGAATTAATCTCGCTAAAGACCACCTATAGCGCGCGTTTCTTAGAGCAACGAAGTCCAAGAAAGCTTGATTGAATATTGCGTAGAAAGCCAAATTGAGTATTAACAAGTCGCGTAAGATGCGTAGTTCTTCTCGACTAGAGACGGGTGTGGGTGGGTGTGGAGTGGTGGGGTGTGAGGTGTGGGTGAAGGTGAAGAAGTAATACTACCCACACCCCACACCTGCCCACACCCACATCCACACCCGCAATCAATAGAGGAAATATTGCTCTATCGAACTGTATATTAATGGAAAAGGGTGTGAGTGTGGGTAGTATTACTTCTTCACCTTCGCCCACACCCCACACCGTAGGTCCCGTTGTGACTAGTCCACAAAAAAGAAAACGAACGATAGATTTGAATCTTTAACGAGAGAATATTCGGCATCTGACGAACATTGTGTAGTCATATAACAGTGCTGTCTTACACGCGCATTTTCAACGAAAAACAATCTCATGAAAATGATTTTATTCCTGTTAGAAACATTTTTTTTATGTTATTGACATACTGACAAACAGCATGTTACTACAGAAGCGCAGAAAAGTATCGAAGTATGATTAAATCTCAATGAAAAAAAAACTTTTTGCTGAACTAAAGACCATTAATCTTTGGTTCGAATGATTGGCGAACGATTTCTAGTGGTAAATATTTATGTTGCTAATGTTACTCTCAATGATCTAATTACCATCTTTCATTTTTCTCCAAAAATTGCAAATTAATTATATTCAGTTCTTCTTTTCTGCATGTGTTCGATCGCTGTCACGGATTCGGAAAACAGGTTCGTAGTCAGAAAGTGCTAATCGAAGCTATCCATTGGCAATTCACCGCGTGAGAATTCTATTCATAACTTGGATATCTGTCAAAATATGATCAACTTGCAGTCGAAATCGAATCTTGAACGAGAAAAATCCGTTAAGTGACACGTATTAACAAAGCACTATCGCTTATTTTTGTGTCTGTCTTATGAAAATATTGATTCTAGAATTATTATCAAAAGCCTCTTCTGGAAATTTTTATGGTTTCAGTCAATCTTGTTCTATCATTATAAAGTAATTCTTGTCAACCTCTTAAACAAATGTCATTTTGTTTTTATAAGTACATGCATATCAAGAAAATGATTATAGTTTATTAATAATGTAATTCATAGGTATAATTATTTTTGGCACTATTAGATTCATATTCAAATATGACTAAGTGAGTCTGAATCTTTGACAATTACACCTGTTGATGGTAAACGATCAGTTAACCATTGAATAAATTCATCTTTATACGATGTAGTTTCGTCGCAAAATTCATCATCATTCATGAATAATGATATGTCTTCAGAATCGTTTTCTTCTTCACATCTAATGCTCGAAAATATTTTTAACGAAAATATTAATGCTTTGATGATTTTTCACTTCAATGGAAAGTACTCCCCACCGAACAACTAATCGTGATTGAGCCAATATCATACATTCTTCCTCATTGAATCGATCTTTAAAGTTTTTGAAACAGAGTCTACGAATTGATGCATTTGTATATTTAAATAATGACGTTTGTAAAAGTAATGATGCATTTTGTTCGATGGTTAGTACATGCAGATGAGGCGCTTGATCAAATAATACTTGCAATTGAGAATGAAAAGTATCAGCAAGAGATAACACTGTAAATGAGTGTAGTTGGGCTAAACTTCGAACAATAGACCAAAATTGAGTATTGAAAAGAAAGTTTATGTAAAGATGATGAATTTCGAATAAATGAATATTGGATGAAACCGATTGACCCCAAATTGTTTCGTCTAAGATCCAAGTCTTGTTATCATAAAACTCCCGATGATCATCACGAAGGATTTGTTTTTGCATATTTTCATATGCAGCACATTTATCTCTCATAGTTAAACGAAGTACTTGGAGTTTTTGTAAATAATTACGAATAATTTGTTCCCATTGATGATTATCGATTGTATTATTCATAAAACGAATATCTAAACGTTGTAGATTCGATATATCTTACGAAGAGGAAATCATTTTCGAAGCATTGGGCATATGAAAATGACTGATCCTCGAATTAATTAGTGTTGGTAAAGGAGAGATTATACAATTATCATCGTGGCGCATAATAATAAATATCTGAAAACATTTGAGACGAGGTGTGTATTCCAACAATCGATTTATTTCATTCCATTTAAGTTCACTCCCATATACATATATATATATATATGCCTATATAAGTACCTTTTTGTCAAATAGGTAGGGAACTGCGGGACCACCTTTTTTAGTCCCGATCCCAGTTTCAGTCCTGTGCGAACATGATCCAATTTTTAAAGTAGTTTATTATTTTATTGTTCGGAAGTGTGCGACATCTAATGTCTATACATCAGATTCGACACCTGTTAGACCGTCTATTATCTGTCTGCATGATTCTATCAAAAGCATATGATAAATGAATTAATATACATCGTCGATTGTTTTTATCAATAAGAACGTTTTACATTGAATATTAATAAAAATTGATATCATCATCTAATTCTTAAAAAGACAAACGATAAAATCAATCATGTATAACAAACAGCAAACTACAGAAATGATTAAGAATAAAAATTCTGCTCTCAAGTTTTCTAAACCAAACAAAGTAACCAATGCAAAGTGGGATAATTATTTACAAATTTTCGTTGATAATGTGCGACAACATTTTATAACATGTGTAAATTGTCGATCTATTTTGATATGAAAGTCAGCTAATGGAACAGATGTGATGGAGAAACATGATAAAGGATGCAAAAAAAAGCATCACCATTGTCAATTACACAACAGACAATCGTATCATTTCGTTCAACAAATAATGAAAATGATCAACATCTTATTTGTTTAAACAAAAGAAAAGAAAAATTACAAATACGTTGACTGTATGTTGTGCATTGGACGATATACCGTTTAATTCAGTGTAGGGTGATGGATTTCGTGTGTTAGTTCAAGACTTGACGAAAGCTGGCCAACAATTTGATTCAAATGTTTCTGTCAATGATGTTTTACCTGATCCGACAACGGTAAACAAAATTCTTACATCAATGACCTCGTAGATTATTAAATTTCACATTCTTTAGAAACTGACAAAATTTATACAATACGTAAAGAATAATTAAAGTCACTTTTATCAACAATTGATCATTATGCAATTACTGTAGATTTTTGGGCGGAACAATATACAAAAGTTAGCTTTGGTGATGTTGCATTACACACGTATTCATCATCTCATGATTTACTTGTGTTCCTATTGACGTGCAGACCGTATGATTTACCAGATCAAACGGCAAATAATATTCGTTTATTTACAAACTGTATATTAGAATCATATGATTTAAAGCGAGGTAAATTAAAATATGTAGTAAGTGACAATGAAAATAAAATGCGTGCTTCATTTAGAGAAAGTTCTATTCGTGCTGGATGTGCAGCATATTTTCTTAAATAAGATTGTTGAACATGTCTTATGTAAATCTGGTATTGATTGTGACGATATTCAACGAATGTTCAATGATGTTCATAACCTTTTCATACATATACGACGGCCCCATAATCAATAAAACTTATTAAAAAGATTACAAGTTTTATCAAAAACCAGGTGGAATAGTTCCTATGACATGATATCAAGTTTTATAGCCGTTTATCCAGAATCAAATGGCATTATAATAGAAAAAGCTCAAGAGAAGCATTAGCTCGAATCGATTTTAATGATTTAATGGCATTTGCTAAATATTTTAAGTATTTTGTCAATGTAACGGTACTATTAAATGCTAAAAAACTCCAACTATTCATTTGGTCGTACCAGTGAAGCAACATCTGATTGATTTATCACAACAAGATAAAGATGAATCACAATCAATTAAAAATATTCAAAAATATATTCAAAAACAACTTTTAGAATATTGGGACATTGATGACATTCATAATATTGCTGTTGTATTTCACCCGAAATTTAAACATTTATATATATGATTAAATGATAAAAGACAAAAAAGGCCTATGATTTAATAAAAATAGGGTTCACCGACATTTCCGCGCGTGACATTACCGCGCCGACATTACCGCGCCGACACTACCGCACACGACACTACCGCGCACGACAGTACCGCGCACGGCTGTTGCGCGCATTGACACTTGAGCGCATTGACATTATCGCGCACGACACTTCAGCGGACGACATATACGCGGAATTTTTTTTGTCTCTTTTTTATTTGATCAATAAGCTTATAGCTATTAATCAGAGAAGGTTGTTCTTTTTTTTTGTCCATTAATTTAGATGAAACCTAATGTCAGAAGGAATAATTGGATTAGATAATAATGAGCGGATCAGTATAATTGACCCATTGATGAGAATAA